ATAAAAAAAAAAAGAAAAAAAATCAAGGACTTATAAAGATATGCACACCTAGGTGCATTTTTAATTAAATCACATATTTATATGGGAAAAAAAAAAAAACTTTAATGTTTCAAAGGATACCATCAAGAAAATAAAGACAACCCACAAAATGAAAGAAAGTGTTTGTAAATCATAGTCTCTGATAAGGGACTTGTATCTAGGAAAAAAAAATACATATGGATTGGAAGACTTAATATTTTTTTTTCATTTTAATTCCAGTGTAGTTAACATACAGTGTTATATTAGTTTCAGGTGTACAATATAGTGGTCCAACAATTCTATACATTACTCATATGTGGAATTTAAGAAACAAAACAAATGAGCCGAAGGGGGAGAAAAGAGAGAGAGAGAAAGAGAATCAAGCCAAGAAATGACTCTTACCTCTAGAGAACACACTGATGGTCACCAGAGGGGAGGTGGGTGGGGGGATGGGGAAAATAGGGAAAGGGGACTAAGGAGGGCACCTGTCGTGATGAGCACCAGGTGAGGTATGGAACTGCTGAATCACTATATTGTACACCTGAAACTAATATTACACTCTATGTTAACTAATTGGAATTTAAATAAAAACTTAAAAAAAAATCTTTGCTTATCTGGTTGGTTGTAAACGCCATTCTTCTGTTAATATATTTTGGCTAATGAAATTTACTAGTATTTTCTACTTATAACTAATGAGAATACAACATCCAAATTTTTGTTTGCAATTTATGTTGATTTTGTGATGAATTTTGTATCAAAAACTTTTTCACCTTTCCAGTGAAGTATTTCCATACCTCATTCATTTATAAGGTATAGGGTGGTGACAGAATCACTAGATCATCCTCCGCTTACACTTAACCCACTCTGTGTTATTTTAAAAGCCAGTATCTTTCATTTTATTTTATTGTTTACCAAGCATTTTAAAGCACAGTGTCATATTTTCTGGTTTTTTAATAGCTTCTAATTTTTCTCCTTTTTTTTAAAACTGATCATAATAATTTTTAAATTTACTTTAATACTGGTAAGCATGTAATAATGCTTAAATATCAATCTTTAAACACTGAAGTAATCCACAATAATCAAATAAAAATAATCCTTCCATATTAACTTACATTAGATGCATCTGAGATTCTTGATTTCAGTCCGAAATTGCTGTCTTTCTTTGAGTTCCTTGCAGTGTTAAAATATACATAATTTCGAACTGCTGTTGATAATAATCCATCAGTCCATTCCATAGTATTAGGATCCAGTTGTCCATACAGTTCACCAACAGTGATACACTTTGGATTTAAAACACAAATATCTACTTTTCCTTTTCTTCCTGGAATCTGAAAAAAATCCAGTGTGGTTTCTTAAAGGCATTAACTATAGTACAATTATTTAAATTTTTGCACTGTTAACACCAAAGAGTTTTAGGAGAGTTCTTTCCCTCCAAAGAAAGAGACCCTAATAATCTCTGATCATCAATTAATGATCTAGCAATTTGGTATCTATTTGAAGAAAACAAAAACACTAATTTGAAAAGTTACATGCACCCCATGTTCATTTCAATATTATTTACAATGACCAAAATGTAGAAGCAATTGGTCCACTGATGGATGAATGGATAAAGAAGATGTGGTATGTATACATACACATGCACACACAAACACACACGTGTATATATATGATGGAATCCTACTCATCATTAAAAAAAGAATGAAATCTTTCCATTTGTAACAACACGGAAAAAATAGATTGAACTTGATCATCAAGGTTAAAAACTTTTGTGTTTCAAAGGATACCATCAAGAAAATAAAGACAACCCACAAAATGAAAGAAAGTGTTTGTAAATCATAGTCTCTGATAAGGGACTTGTATCTAGAAAAAAAATATATATATACATATATGGATTGGAAGATTGGTTTTTTTTTATTTTAATTCCAGTGTAGTTAACGTACAGTGTTATATTAGTTTCAGGGGTACAATATAGTGATTCAACAATTCTATATAATACTCATATGTGGAATTTAAGAAACAAAACAAATGAGAAAAGGGGAAAAAAGAGAGAGAAAGAGACAAGCCAAGAATAATCTTAGGATTATGCTCAGGAAATGAGTCAGAGAGAGAAAGACAAATACCACCTGATTTCACTTATATGTGGAATCTAAAAGACAAAACAAACCCAAGACTCATAGATACAGAGTATGTTGGTGTTCCCAGAGGGGAAAGGTATTGGGAGGGGGACCAAAATAGGTGAAAGGAATCAAGAAGTACAAAATTCCAGCTATATAATAAATAAGTCATGGGGCTGCAATGCACAGCATGGGGAATATAGTCAACAATACTATATTAATTCTGTACAGTGACGTGGTAACTAGACTAGTGGTGATCATTTCACAATATATATAAATGTCAAATAACTATGTTGTACACCTGAAACAATATTATACTTATGTCAATTATACCTAAATAAAAAAGGAAATAATTATTAAATAAAGACACAAATAAATAGTAACAGAAATAAAGTATGGACATTACTAGTGCCTTGCAGAAATTAAAAGGATTATAAGAAAACACTATGAATGACTGTACGCCAAATTATGTAATCTACAGGATACGTATAAATTCCTAGAAATAACAAAAATTATGAAAACTGACTCAAGAAGAAATAGAAAATCTCAACAGATCTGTAACAAGCAGAGAGACTGAATCAGTAATTAAAATCTCCAAGAAAGTCCAAAATCAGATAGTAGATGAGTTTTACCAAACATCTGAAAATGAATTAACACCAACCTGACTCAAATTCTTGCAAAAAATAGAAAAGGAGGGAATACTTCCTAACACATTCTATGAGGCTAGAATTATCCTGATACCAAATCCACTCAAAAACACCCTAAGAAAACGACACACCCGTGTCCTCTATGAATAGAGATGCAAAAACCCTCAAGAAAGTGCTAGCAAACTGACCGCAGCAGCACAATGATTGACCATGACCAGATGAGCTTTGTCTTAGCAATGGAGGGTAGGTTCAACAAAAGAAAATCAATCATACTAACACAACAAAAGAAACAAACTGCATGATCACATAAAGAGAGGCAGAAAAAACATCTGATAAAATTTCACACCCTTTCATGATAAAAACACTCAACAAACTAGAAAGGAACTTCCTTACTATAATCAGGGGTATTTATGAAAAACCCACAGATGATATCATACTCGATGGTGAAAGGCTGAAAGCTTTCTCCCTAAAATCAGGCACAAGGCAAGAATTCTCATTTTCACCACTGCTATAAACACTGTACTGAAAGTCCTAGCCTGGTAATTAGGTGAGAAATAAAATAAAAAGCATCCAAATTGCAAAGAGAGAGTAAAAGTATCTCTATTTAAATATGACATGATTCTATTTTTGAAAATCCCAAAGAATCTACAAAACAACTACTAGAGCTAATATATGAACCAGCATATTTGTAGGATACAAGATCAACATACAAAAATCAGTTCATTTCCGTATAGCAGCAATGAACACGCTTCAGCAACAACAAAAATTAAGAAATTCCAAGTCCATTATAATAGCATCCAAAGAATAAAATGCTTTGGAATAAATTTAATCAAGAAGGAGAAAGACATATATTGAGAACTACAGAAAACAAATTTTCTTGCTTACTGAAAGAACGAACTAAAAATGGAAAGAAACTGCACACTAGCTGAAAAAAAAATCTGCAGAACTGAAAAGCTGACTTTCTAAAGCTTTCAGAATAGACTGCTGAGTCTTTAAATAAGATAACTGAAGTACACATTATTTATTGGAATCTAACCTTATATGGAATAAAAATACCATCTGATTTCACTCATATGTGGAATTTAAGAAACAAAACAGATGAACATATGGGAAAGGGGGAAAGAGAGGGGAAACAAACCATAAGAGATTCTTAATGAGGGAGAACAGACTGAGGGCTGATGGAGGGAGGGGTGTGGGGGATGGACTAGATGGGGGATGGGAATTAAGGACGGCACTTGTCATGATGAGCACTGGATGTTATACATAAGTGATGAATCACTGAATTCTACTCCTGAAAGCATTATTACACTATTAACTAGAATTTAAATAAAAATGTGAAAAAAATAAAATAAAAATGTCATTTAAAAAAATATATATACATATCATGAAAAATCGGGAGTTATTCTAGGAATTCACGGACAATTTAACATTAGCAAATCTATCAACATACCTTATTAACCAATTAAAATATAAAAAATAGATTCTGAAAAGTTATTTCATAAATTCCAAAAGTCAAAACCAAAGTATAATGAGAACGGAAGAAAATTTCCAATGTATGAAAGAACATTTATCATACACAAAAAGCAAATACTGTATTATTGTTATTATTATTATTTTTAAAGATTTTATTTATTTATTTGACAGAGAGACACAGCAAGAGAGGGAACACAAGCAGGGGGAGGGGGAGAGGGAAAGGGAGAAGCCGACTCCCCGCTGAGCAGGGAGCCTGACGTCGGGCTCAATCCTAGGATCCTGGGATCACGACTTGAGCCAAAGGCAGACGCTTAACTGACTGAGCCACCCAGGCGCCCCGCAAATACCATATTAAATGTAGTAATATTAACTGCATTTCAGATAAAGTAAGGAACAAGATATTATTACAGTTAACACTGTCTTGGAGGGTTAATCAATGCAATAATATAACTTACATAAATATTACCAGAGACAAAATTACATTCATTTGAAGATGATTCAATTGATCACCTATAAAAACAATTACAATTTAATGTTACCAGTCCATGAAGGTGACTAAATACAAAATATATAATCCAATAAATTTATTTCACACTCGTAATTACTAGTTTGAGATTCAAAAAAAAAAAATCCCACTTACTACAATGATTCCTAACTACAAAATTCCTAGCAATAAATTTAACAAGACTATACTTATGTAAATAGGACATAAAATGTTACTGAAGTATAAAGTAAGATCTGAAGAAATAGGGAAACATACTACTTAGTGTTTACCTGTGAAATAGATTCCCTTTCTTTACTTGATAGGAAGTCTTCAACTGGTGATAGTGTTAATGCTCTTTCTAAAACTCTTCTGACTGTTGTCTTTCCTCCACATGTTGGACCTACTAACATCACACCAACACAAGCCTAAAACAAAAGTGCAGATTTATGATTTAATTTTGGTTCACTGATGGATAAGCTAGGCTGAAATCTGAAGGTAATACATCTCTGTATTCACAAACCCTTCCTTCAAATCACTGTTTAATCTATTATAATCTGGGTTCTGTTTTCATTGGCTAGATTAATGTCAAAATAAACAGAAATCTCCTAATTTTAAAATTCAAAGGATAACTTTCAATTCTTGATATTTGACAGTTTATCTTTTTCTATATCTCCTTTATTTCTGTACTTTTCTCTAAGATTGGCTTCTGTAATATGATTTATCTCAGCTTTCCTCTTCTCTAGTTTTCTTTCTTTTGAGTTTTGAATGTCATTTCCATGTTAGTCTTCCCTAATTCATCCTTCTCTCTCTCTCTTCTCTCTACATTGGCCCTACCAATCTCATCAACTTGAATATCTTTAACTACAACCTAAGTGCTAATGACTTCCTAATGCATTTATTTTTTCCAGTCTTTGGTTCTATGTGCCTGAGTAACATTTCAGTGCTCTACTAGATACTTCCATCTGGATGTCTCACATGATTTTCAGAGTCAACATAATCTAATCTACACCTTCTTTTCCCACTTGTTGCTTCTCTTATTTCCTGATCTAGTTAATAAAAACACTAAGTACCCATTGTCCAAAGTTCCTCATCTCTTACAAAATTTGCTTGATCCTATCTTCTTCTGCCCAACCCAATCACAATTGGTGTTACAGAGTAAATGTTTGCATCTCCCTAAAATTCAAATGTTGAGGCTGACACCCAACGGGATACTATTGGAGGTGAGGCCTTTGATAGGTAATTAGGTTTAGATGAGGCCAAGAGGGTGGGCCTGTGATGGGATTAGTGTCCTTACAAGAGGGAGAGGGACCAGAGTTCAACATCTCTCCACCATGTGAGATCTCACACAGTGAGAAGGTGACCATCTGCAAGCCAGGAAGAGCGCTCTTACCAGAAACCAAATCTGCTAGCACTTTGATCTTAAACTTCCCAGCCTCCAGAACTGTGAGAAATAAATGTCTGTTGTTTAAGCCACCCCATCTATGGTATTTTGTTATGTCAGCCCAAATGGACTAAGCCAAGGAGGAAAGGGTCAGATGCTAAAGCTCTTAAAAAGTGTCCGTCACCATCTCTTGTAGACTATTGTAATAGCATTAAAGAAATGATTATCTTTAGTAATGTATCAAATAAATACATTAAAATTCAAATATGGATAAAGCTAAAATAGTTTTCACTTCCATTCTAATCTCTTTATCCTCATGTAGGTTTGTGGTTCTCTGGTCTATCACTGGCAAGGTGAGAAGGGGTCCAGAAGCCTTGCATGACAAATGGAATTAGATGTTCAAGAACGCAGCTAACTGGCCACACTGGTGTCCTGGCTTTACATGAAAGAGGGGCAGCTGTCCCTCTGGGAGCAACCTTACCCCCTACTTCCCCTCCTGGAGCAAAGCTGCTGGCTCAGTGAAGCCCTTGATTTACAAAGATCCCGTCAATGCCTTGGTCTGGTTTACTGGTGGCTCAGCCTGGCTGAGACCTGAAGGCTCCCGCTGTTCCTCCTCAGAGCCAGCTATGAAGACCCAAGAGCAGACGTGTCAGGTCTGCTCATGGTGAGAACTCTGTGGCTTGGCAGTGGCCTAGCTATTTGGTCTGCCCCTTGGGAAATTACAGACTACAAGATTAAAGATAATCCTCTCTGGGGTTGTGAACTGTGGAAACAAATCGGGGCTGCTAAGCAAACTACCAGAGTTACTCGTGGGCCCAAGACGAGGACCCAGAATCAAGCTGCTGATCAAGCCTGCCCTTCCCAGACTATCATGATCGTTGTATGGACACACGTCACACTGGATGTGGCAACGTGTTGTCCGTCACAGAACTCACAAAGGACTGTGTTTGTGACACAGGAACTACTGCTGCGCTCCAGACTCCAGTTTCACGGTGGGAAAAGTCGCACTGCCTGGGGCACGAATGACCCCCACATACTCCTGGCAGGTCCTACATCAGATCTGTGCTCCCCTCTCCTGGGGCTATTGGTGGTGACTCACTGACACTAACTATTTCAAGCTATGGGACTGCTGTTTTGGTCCAATCAGCTAACTCTAGCCACACCATTATGTTTCTTGAGATGAAATTTGTGTCATTTGGATTTCTGGACCATCTGCAGTCTGACAATGGTATACCTTTTATTGCAAGAGTCTCTTAACCATGAGCTGACGGTCAAGATATTTTATGGGCCTTCTCCGTTCCCTACCATCCATACGCATCTGTTATTATTGAGCATTGGAACAGCCTTCTCAAAGACTGACTCCAAAGATTTCTGACTCCATCCCCCTTCCCTTCTCTTTGTCCACACACCTTACCAGGGAGGGTTGGTCATTGAATGTGGACATCCCTAGAAGGGGATCATTTCCTTTCATCTGCTTCCTGGGTAATTATCAGCATAAAAGAGATGGGGGATTACAGAGATCTATTTTGAGAATTTGGGATTCATCCTAACCATTCCTGAGCATGGTGCTTCTTTCTGTTCCCTAATGACAACCCCAAGCCACCCTGATTGTACACATTCCAAAATGGGGCCCAGAGGGTTCACATTTAATTCTGGTTCAACTGCCTGGATTCTCTTGGATTGACCTGGTCTTAGGCCATAAGGGTAGTGAATGGGGATATAAGGATAATTGCTGAACTGGGGCATACCAATTTTGTGGCAATGCAAGCACAGCAAAAACCCAGACACTTAGGGGGGACATGCCTCGGACCATGGAGTAGGGGGGGACGGATGACTATTGAAGATAGTCTCCTCCAAGAATTAAATCTTGGGGACACGGCTACTGCTGTTGCTGAGTGACCCAGGAGTCTGGTGCTTTCTGCCGCCGTGAAGCTGTGCCAGGCTAACTTGTTAAATCCACCCAATATATTCATGAAGGGAAAAATGTGATATCATAAAATGAAAATTCTCACCACCAGCTATTCATTCAATTCTATCCCAATAAAAATCCAAATAGGATTTTTTAATTTTAATTTAAATTTTTATTATTTTACTGGCAGTCAATCAAATGATTATCGAAGAATCGGGAAAATAACAAAGAGGGAGGATTACGGCAGGGCTCAGGACAAGACAGGCACCCTGACCTTGGCGTGTTAGATAGATTAAGCTGGAGGAGTCTTTTCCCACGGCAGAAGCAGGAAGCTCACTCTGACCTCCCCCATCTCACCTTTCTTCCCTGAAACAGGTCATAAAAGTCCCATGTGAAAAGTGCCCTCCTCGTACCCGAAGGACAGAAACATCCTTATGGGGAATGTGGGGCTGACAGGCTGTATGAGCAAACCTGTTTCGTCTGCCCGTATCTTCCTAGTTACTTCTTCACACCTACTACCCCCCCAGCCCAAACCCCTCTGCCCTGCCAACTCTGCACAAAGTCATTGTTTCTTTATTTAAAAGGTATAAAGCCTCCAGTTCTGGTCACTTCTTTGGGTCTCTCTATTCTCTTGTGAAGGCTCCCTTGTAAAAAAATATCAATTACAGTAAAATGTGCGTGTTTTCTCCTGCTAATCTGTCTTTGTCAATTTGATTTTCAGACTCAGCCAGGAACCCTAAGAGGGTCAGGGAGAGCTTTCTTTTTTTCTCTTACAGTTGGTACTACCAGATATGGAGACCTATTGTAAAGCTATGGCAATTAAGACTGGTGTTGTCATAAGATAAAGACCAAAATAATAAAATATGGAAGAAATCAACAAAGAAAAATTTAGATCAGAAACATGGTATGTGAGAGAAATAGCAAATCAGTGGGGAAAAGTCTTGGGAAAACTGGTTATCCATCTGAGGAAAAATAGATCCATATTTGGCATCTTAAAGAAAAATTCCAGACAATTTAAAAGTAGGAAATGCAAATACAAAAAAAATTTTAGAAAAAAAATCATAGAAAATATCTTTATGAAATACGATAGAAAAGATTTCTAAAAATTCACAAAAACACAAACCATAAAAACAAGATCAATGGACTTCAATGCATTAACAATGTCTCCTGCACCACTGAACACTAGGAACATTTCTGAAAACCTAAGACTTAGAGAATTTACCTGTAATGCATATAAACAATAAGGAGATAGGATATTAAAATGCATAATGAAAAGTCTACACACACTTGGTAAGAAAGACAAAAAACCCAAATGATAAATGAGTACGTTACATAATCTGGCAATTTGTAGGAAACTCAAATGGCAAAGAAATAGATATGAGAATGTACAATTTTACTAATAATCAGGGAAATGCACCGTCTTTTCCAAAGGTTCATTCATGCGGACAGAAAATTCAAAGAAGGTATAGCTATGTGAGGCAGAACATTTATACCATATGTGTAGGGTTTTTTAGAATCATGTGGTAAGGGGACAAAGGGGAAGAAGATTAATCTGTTCAAAGTTAAGTGAGGGTAAATAACCGAGTCAATCACTTCATTGTTATCCTGGTTTTCTCCTTGATCAGAACTATTAAAATTCAGGAGCAAAGAGCTGCTAACATGCCATTCCACACTTACCTGAAGTTGATTATAAAACTGTATGATTTTCTTTTTCTGAGCTGGCCAGTGTTGTAAGCCCAACTGTTGTGTTGCAATAAATATTGCTTTCTAAAGAAAATAAATACATTAATTTAAAGTGCATTGCAAATTAAACCCTTAATACATAATCCTACAAAATCTCTCTTAATGATGTACCGAATACTGCACTTTAAGACAGTAGTTCTTAATTTCACCAACCTGAGATATTACTTACCCCCAAAATATAATACACACAATATGTTATGTTCACAGATCCCTGGTAGCAAACTTATAGACCCTCCCCCAGTTTAAGAATTCATTCTTAGGGCGCCTGGGAGGCTCAGTCGGTGGAGCATTCAACTCTTGATTTCAGCTCAGGTCCCGATCTCAGGGTCCTGGGATTAAGCCCCGCCTCCCTCAGTAAGGAGTCAGTTTGAGATTCTCTCTCTCCCTTTCCCTCTGGCCCTCCCCCAGCTCATGCTCTCTCTCTAAATAAATAAATGTTTAAAAAAATTCATTCTTTAAGATGTATTTAAGAATTGTTACCATAGTACCATTGTCTATTTATCATACACTAAAAGAAAATTTAAAAGAGTCTATATCTTTGTGTAATTCCAATCACATTAAGGTAGTTTTTCAGCTTTGTAACAATTATTTTAATGTTTCACTGTTAAGAATATTCTAGGATAGGGCGCCTGGGTGGCTCAGTTGGTTAAGCGACTGCCTTCGGCTCAGGTCATGATCCTGGAGTCCTGGGATCGAGTCCCATATCGGGCTCCTTGCTCAGCAGGGGGTCTGCTTCTCCCTCTGACCCTCCCCCCTCTCATGTGCTCTCTCTCTCTCATTCTCTCTCTCAAATAAATAAATAAAATCTTTTTTAAAAAAAAAGAATATTCTAGGATAGTAAGTATAATTTGTAAGATTGAGGACTTGACATGGTTAGACATTCAAACATCCAGTAAGTGGCTGCAGCTTGGAAATATTCTTAATATTTTAATGCAGGAATTATAAGGGCAGCCCCATTTCCTTCTAAAGTGGGGTTTAGGGGTGCCTGGGGGGCTCAGTGGGTGAAATGTCTGCCTTCAGCTCAGGTCATGATCCCAGTGTCCTGGGATCGAGTCCCGCATTGGGCTCCCTGCTCAGTGGGGAGTCTGCTTCTCCCTCTCCCTCTGTCCCCTGGCTCAGTGCTCTCTCTCTCTCTCTTTCTATCTCAAAAAAAAAAAAAAAAAAACACTTTAAAAAAATAAAGTGGAGTTTATTTCAGTGTCGATACTATCGGTAACTGTGCCTACAGAAAAAAGCGGGATCTATCCTTCTCCTCACTGATCTCTCCTACTGCACTTCTCATTCCTTGCATTCCCACAATGGGACAAAGGTGCTGCTGAAGGAGACACAGACACTCAGCAGGACTGTACAAATGGAGAAACCGTAGCTCCTGTGGCCAGGCTACCGGAGGTTGGAAATCAGCTGAGAGAAACCTCTTTTATTTTTTTAAATTTTATTTTATGTACATTCAATTAATTAACATATAGTGTATTATTAGTTTCAGGGGGAGAGATCAGTGATTCATCAGCTGCATACAACACCCAGTGCTCATTACATCATGTTCCCTCCTTCATGCCCGCCACCCAGTCACCCCATCCCCCCACCCCACCTCCCCTCCAGCAAGCCTCAGTTTGTTTCCTGTACTTAAGAGTCTCTTATGGTTTGTCTCTGGTTTCATCTTGTTTTATTTTTCCCTCCCTTCCTCTACCTCCTCTGTTTTGCTTCTTAAATTCCACCTATGAGTGAGATCATATGATAATTGTCTTTCTCTGACTTATTTCACTCAGCATAATGCCCTCTAGTTCCATCCACGTCGTTGCAAATGGCAAGATTTCATTCTATTTGATGGCTGCATAATATTCCATTGTATATATATACCACATCTTCTTTATCCATTCATCTGTTGATGGACATCTGCGCTCTTTCCATAGTTTGGCTATTGTGGACATTGCTGCTATAAACATCGGGGTGCAGGTGCCCCTTCGAATCACCACATTTGTATCTTTGGGGTAAATACCCAGTAGTGCAATGAGAACAACCTCTTTTAAATGGAGGTGATGAGACATACCCTTAAGGCCTGAACGTGGAGCAGTTTTAGATGTGGGGGCTAGGAATTCTCTGTCACAGACAATACAAACCTAGACACCTGCCTGGATGTAAGCCAACAGTCCACAGGAGTGGACTAGGGATAGCATGGGACACAGAAGATCAGCAGAAGTGGGATAATCAAAAGAAGAGATATTCAGACAGGGCATCCCTCCTGGTTAAAGATTTTCACAATTCCTTACTTTGGAAGGTTTTGAAATAAAATCATAATCCTACTGTAAAGTATTTATGGTTGTAAATGATGTTCTGTAGAGTCAACTGCATGGCAAACTATACATCATTTATTCCAGGATATGGTTTCGGTAATTCTGTTAATCCTGTGGTTGCCCTGAGTTAACGACACCCCCACCCCCACACTGTAGATATTGTTAGAGACAGAAATGTGAATAAGTTGGATAGATTCCAATTGCCTATTGCATGCAATTTAGATTCCTGTACCTCAAATGAACAAGAAGTGTAAACAGCACACCTACAATGTATTATTTAACAACATATATTCCTATATGGATATGCTATATGTGACTGGTCACTGTGTAAACCATCAAAAATACACCATTAAATAGAAGACTGGATTATTCCAAATTTAATATTAGACCTATAAATTATGAACTTTGTGCCATTTCTTGAGCCATACATTAGTATTTGGCAACATTTTGTTAACAGTTTATTTATTTATTTAACAGTTGATAGCCTGCATATTTATCAATGTAAAAATTATACGAAGGGAAAGTAGCAGAATAAACAGATGCTTATAAAATTGATGAAGAGATGAATATATAATAAGGTTAAAAAACCAAACCATCAACGTGCACCTAGAAATGCTATTATGATGGCGATGCTATTTATTTTAGCTGTGACTTGAAAAATGTTAAAGGTAAACACATATCTAGAGAAAGGAGAGGAAGGAATGTGTAGGCCCCGCCGGGGAGAGATGGAAAGATGTTTATATAAGAAAGAGAAAGCAAAACTTGTCAACTAACATCTTCCTTCCCTTTTTTTAGCAGAGTGAAAATCCTCAAAATGTAAGTATAAATATGCAAAATGTAGGCAATGGCTTAGGTGCAACCATCCACTGTACATCTCCTGGAAGCCACACAGCACAAAACCACAAAGACAGATATATAGATAACTATAGATCTCAAATTCCATTTTCATTAAAATAAGAATAAGGAAAAATCTCCAAAACCTAAAACGCATGTAAGTGCTATGAAAATAGTTAAGCCTATTTAGCTTAGAGTTTGGACCTACAGTTTCTTGGTCTGGAAAAATCCAACTCACTGAATTATGTGGAACAAAGAATCTCACAGCCGAAGTCCCCTTCCTGTCAACATAGAGAACTAAAAATAAATGGCTCCATATTAAAACGGCTAATAGAATATGAAAACACATAACTAGAGAATTTAAAGTGAGATTTAGAATATCAAAGACAAAATGAAAGATTTCAAAGCTTCCAGAGAGACTTGCAAGGAAGATGGTGGAGTAGGAGGATCTTGGGCTCACATCATCCCCTGATTACAACTAGATAACACTCACATCAGGGTAAATGACCCAGAAAATCCCCCAAAGACTGGCAGGACAGACTCTCCACAGCTAAATGTAGACAAGAGACCACATTGAAGAGGGTAGGACAGGCAGAGACACAGCTGGGAACAAAATGGACCTGCGACACTGTCCGCAGGAGGGAGGGACCCGCAAGCGCAGGCATGGAAGAGGAGCAGACCCCAGCCCAGGAACCCCAGGCCTGGGAACCTGTACCAGGAAGAAGAATCCCTATAACATTGGCTTTGGAAACCAGAGGGGCTTAACTTCGTGAGTTATTACAATCAGTGGGGCTTACCACCTGGAACTTTAAAAATCAGCAGTTGCAGACAGGAAGCTGAGTCCCTGTCCTTCAAGAGACAGCAGAACCAGAAGCCCCTCTGAGATAAGTACAGAAGCAGCAGTTTGAAAAACACCTGGGGTACACGAAGAGGAGGTTTATTTACTAATCTCAGAATGTGTGCTAGAGCAGCAGGGATCTCAGGAGACTTCTCCAAGAACAAAGGAGCTGGTGGGCACCATTTCCCTCCCTCACCCCCAGCCTAGACACATGGACACCTGCAGGAACCAGTGCCGTGGGAACACTCTCTACCTGGCTCACTAACAGCTGCTTGGCCCCAGCTCCAGGTCCCCTCCCAGAACAGACCCAACAAACCTGGCTAACTCTGCACATCCCGGCCCTCCACGTTCTCCTGCACACCTGCCCCCTCCACTGTGCCCTGGACAGAAGCCCATTCCCAGCGGCGCCACAGGCGTGCCAGTGTGTGCAGACAGCCCAGACAGGGGCCAGCACTGCTGCAAAGTCACTCCTGCCTCAGGGAGAGAGGGAGATAACCACACACACCAGTTGGACTCTGGCCCCACCCACCAAGGAAAGCTTCTCAGGGGACAATGCAGGGAAAGTGCCCTGAACTTTGGTGCCACCACAGCTCTGGCAAATGCCTGGTCTGGCCCAGCTCAAGCCCCACACTGGCCCACTATCAACACAAGGACCAAACCCTCTGCACAGGGTAAAGAGAGCCACCACAGGTGACTGGACTGAAGGCAAATGCAGCGCAACCACAACAGGGCAACACGCACAGGAGACACGCCTGAGGCTCCGGGTTCTGGGGAACAGGGGACACTGCACTGCAGGGCACTGCAGGGCCAATTCCTCATAAAGCCACTTCCATCAAGAAGAGGAGAGGGAGCTGACTTTCCTAAGACAGAGAAACAGACACAAAGAATTAGACAAAATGAGGGGACAGAGGCATATGTTCTAAGTGAAAGAAGAGAACAAAATCATAGCAAGAGACCTAAGTGAAATGGAGATAAGTAATACAGCTGGTAGAGAATTAATAGTTATCATAAAGATACTTGCTAGACTTGAGAAAAAAGAGGAGGACCTCCACTTTTTGAGACCCTCCACAAAGAGATCAGAAACAAAACAGAACCAATTAGAGATGATGAACTCACTAAATGAAATTAAAAATAAACCACCTGGAATAAACTGCAAACAAGAGGAAGTAGAAGAATGGATCAGCCACCTGGAGGACAGAGTAATGGAAAGTAATCAAGCCGAGCAGTGAGAGAAAAAAATGATGCAAAATGAGAATAGACCCAGGGAACTCAGCAATGCTGTCAAGCATAATAACAGTCGCATGACAGGGATCCCAGAAGGAGAAGAGTGAGGAAAGGGGGCAGAAGATTTGTCTGAAGAAATAATAGCTGAAAACTTCCTGAATCTGGGGAAGGAAAGAGAAATCCAGATCCAGGAGGCACAGAGAGCCCCCAACACAACCAACCCAAAGAGGTCTGCACCAAGACACAAAATAAATAAGATGGCCAAAAGTAGTGATAAAGAGAGAATTTTAAAAGCAGCAAGAGAAAGGAAAGCAGGTACATACAAGGGAAACCCCATACAGCTATCAGTGGGTTTTTCAGCAGAAACTCTGCAGGCCAGAAGAAAACAGCATGATAAATTCCAACTGCTAAAAGGAAAAAAATCTACAGCCAAGAATACTCTATCCAGGAAGGCTCTCATTCAGAACAGAAGGAGAGACAGTTTCCCAGGCAAACAAAAGTTAAAGGAATTAATGACACTAAACCAGCCCTCCAAAAAAATGTTAAAGGATATTCTTTGAGTGGAAAGGAAAGACCATAAGCAGGAGTAAGAAAAGTAGGAAGCACAAAAGAGGTAAAAATAAGTGTATCTATAAAACTCAGTCAAGAGATTCACAAAATAAAAGGATGTAAAGTATGCCACCATATACCTAAAATGTGGGAGGGGGAGGAATAAGAATGCGTTCAATATATGGAATTGCTGAATTGTTATGTTGTATACCTAAAACTAATACAACACTGTATATTAACCATAATGGAATTAAAATTAAAAAAAAATAAAGAATCCCCCCCCCCAGAAAAAACCAAAACCCACAGGAAACAACAAGTGTTGGCGATGATGTGGAAAAAAAGGGACCCTTGTGCACTTTTGATGGAAATGCAAACTAGTGTAGCCACTGTGGACAACAGTATGGACGGTCCTCAAAAAAAAATAAAAACAATCACCATATGATCCAGTAATTTCACTATTGGGTATTTACCTAAAGAAATGCAAACAGTAATTTGAAAAGAAATATGCACTCTTATGTTTACTGCAGCATTATTTACAACAGTCAAGGTATGGAAACAGCCCAAATGCCCACTGATGGGTGAATGAATTAAAGAAGATGTGAGATACACACACACACACAATGGAATATTACTCAGCCATAAAAAAAGACTGAAATTTTACCATTTGCAACAACATGGACGGATCTAGAGAGTATATTGCTAAGTGAAATAAGTCAGTCAGAGAAAGACAAATACCATAGGATTTCACTCACATGAGGACTTTAAGAAGAAGAATAAGATCTAAATATATATACCACTTATATTTTCAAACTATATAAGGCCAGCAATTGACAGAAATGCATAAAGGAGAAAAGAAGACATACATCATTGTTCATATTAGGGACTAACAGATAATATCCAAGTAAGTGGAAAACCGGAGATATTATTATAAAGATGTATAAAGTTACCCTTAGAATAAAAATACTAACCTGCATAAAAATCAGTAGAATAAAACAAAATTTAAAAACCACTTCACTTTGTGGAATTTATAAAGTTTGGAAAAAAAAAAAACAAAAAACAAGTCCAAAAGTGTACAAGGCAAAGAAAACATGGGGTAACCGTCTTAACAAACAAAGTGGAATTCAAGCCAAATAACTGTAGACAAGGAAACAAAAGCACTACGTATTGAAGGGTGCAACTCATACAATGATTTGTAATTGATATTCGTGTGTCAAACAACATGGTAACGACCACTAGGATGCAGAGATTATAAGAATAAACAGGAGTGTGTTAATAGGAGACATGAATGCACCTGAGTCCAAGGAAAACAAGTAAACAAGTGCAAGTACCACTGATAAGAGAGAGAAAATGGGGTCGAGGGTTCAGCTAAACTGCTTCTGGATATTGCTGCCTCTGCATCTGCTCAGCCCCACAGAACAGCCTGCGGGGACATGACACCAGTCCCTCACACCAGCGCAGGCCCCGACAGCAGTCCGCGAAGCCGTGAGCAGGTGGACGCTGCTGGTAGGATGTCCCCCCTGCCAGGGCCTGCCCCTTACACGCTCCTTAGACGGCTCCCATGGGGAACTTACCAAAGTCCCGCTCTGCTTGGTTTGAACTGGCCAATCCAGCCTTAGCCTGGGAACCCCAAAAGCAGTCCGGCCATGGACCCTGATGAAGGCGTGTGCCCCGGGGCCGGCCTCTCTGTCTGCACCCGGCCTAATCCTCCTCATGTGGCTCTGGAGGCCTGTACCGCCAACTTGCTCCACGGCCCGTGAGTAACAAGTGTCTCTATTTCAGTGTCTCTGTTGAACCGTAGCTCACCAGCAGGTCCCCTGTGCTGCTCTTAACAAATGCTAATTGAACAGTCATAACAAATGCAGATAAACCAAACTCTGTCTTATATTTGTGGTCCATGAGAAGATACCTTCTTCTCATGTACATAGGGACTATTCACAAAAACTACTTATATATTAGGCCATAAAAAAGTCTAAATTAAATTCTTAAGGAAAAATAACAAAGATAATATTCTCTGATCATAATTCAGTAAGACCAGAAATTGGTAACAAAATCAGAAAATAAAAAGATCCTTTACCTGGAAATTAAAAGCATGAAAAACTTCTGTTTTAGGAAAGAAAGGAAGTACTAACCATCCTATCAAATTTCTGAGAAAAAATGCTTAGGGAAACCCTATCTACCTGAACTTACAGCCTATATATCTAAAGCAGTGCTTGGATGAAGTTATATAGTTTTCTTTTGTTGTTTTTTGTTTTTTAAGTAGGTGCCACACCCGGCATGGAGTCCAGCGTGGGGCTTGCACCCCAACCCTGCGAGCAAGACCTGAGCTGGGACCAAGAGCCAGATGCTTAACCAACTGAGCCACGTGGATACCCCTTGTTTTATAAACTTACATTAATAAAAAATAAACTATTCATCTTACTTAGACAGCTGGAGGGAAAACACAAAACAGAGGAATAAAGGAAGGTATTTAAAAATATTAATATGGATATTAAAAGATTAGGAATCAAAAAGATGTATTAAATAAATAAAAAGCTGTTTTTTGAAGAAAACAATTAGAAATACTTCTAGGTCATCTATATAGTGAAGAAAACCCAAGTTAAGACAATAAGACCTGCCTGGGAGAGTAACATCGGAAACAGGAAACTGCAAGGGTTGTGAGACAGTGGTTTGTTCAAATCCACACAGAGCATTTTAACACATGAATACAATGAGAATACTCTCTAGTTCAACGAAATTGAGCCTACTGAAATCTAACTAGACCAGAACCATGAAAGAACTATCGTGTCATAAAAGACCTGGTCCGGGTGGTTTGCAAGGGAAATTTTCGCAAACTTCTCTACAGAACCTCATGAATGATCTTCTTTCGCTAAGCGCTTCATGTGTGCTTCAAAATATGTATTCTTTTTTTTTTTTTTTAAAGGTTTTATTTATTATTTAACAGAGAGAGAATGAGAGAGAGAGAGCACATGAGAGGGGGGAGGGTCAGAGGGAGAAGCAGACTCCCTGCCGAGCAGGGAGCCCGATGCGGGACTCGATCCAGGGACTCCAGGATCATGACCTGAGCCGAAGGCAGTCGCTTAACCAACTGAGCCACCCAGGCGCCCCAAAATATGTATTCTGTGCCTGCTAGGTATGAGGCTGTGCACATAGCTTATACCTATATTTAAAAAAGAAATAATTATGAAGCTGTTTAAACTATAAGCTACATAAACCACATATTTTAAAATAGACTTAAAAAACAGTGTTTCAAAAATTGGGCAGGGCCCCAGAGAAAGGAATGCCTGGGTTTGATGGCCTGAGACCTGATAAGGGCCCAGGAAGAGCCAGAAAGCAGAGAGAAGTTCAGGGTGGAAAAAGCTGCGGGAGGTTAAAAGGACACACGGCAAAGTAGCCCAACGTGGTCAGACTTCAAAAGGCAGTGTGACCCGTGTCGGGAGACCTGACTCTGGGTTCATCTGCTGGGGGCTCTGGGGGCTCTGTGTGCAGGGGCAGCAGGAGAGAGGTCGACACCCCACCTGGACAGTGGCGGTGACCGCAAGGCGGCAGAGGAAATAGAGGGCTCTCCAGTCACAGTATGTCATTTTTATGACCACAAAAGTTCACATTGTAATGTCCTTTCTCATAATTCTGATCTAATTTGATCCTTAAAGTACCCCTTTAAAGTAGGAAGAGGAAACATTATCATTCCCATTGGAAAGACGAGAAAACTGGGGAACAACGTAAGTAGCAGCCTTCCTTGACAGAGGCCGCAACACTGTTTTTCTCCCAAGGAGAAATACATCTCCAAATATGTTTATCCCTCCAATTAGAACATAAGTAGAGTGCTTCCGGAAGAGCGGTAATATTTTTTTACTTACATCGTTTCTTATCTTAATTAACGCTCCACCTCTAAATCATTTGTGATGGTTTTCAAAAGTCTTATTACCTCCAAGGCAATCTGATTTGCTGTTGAAACTGCCACTCCAGGAAAAATATCTCCTATAATCTTTTCAAAACGTGGGACGTCTTCAGGGAGAAATTTTGGCAAACTAGCTTCTCTCAGAGCCTCAATAATGATCGGAGTCTCATCCGTTTCAGAAAGATGGTCATTGGTGTTACTTCAATGGAAGAAGAAAAGAAAGACAAAGTTAGCAAGTATGCTTCGCTGACACTGAAGGCCGTTACTATCCCTTTGTAGAGGCGGCTGTCCCAACAGCCCCTCCTCCTCTCCCTCACTGCAAAGCAGCTCTGCGGTGTGCGTGAGGTGAATGTGGTCCCCGGATCCAGAGACGGGCCCAGGCTGGTCTCGAACTGTCCACTCCCCAGTCACTGATTCTGAAAATAACAGAACGAATTCAAACTAATATCAAATTAAAAATAACAGCGATTTACTCAAAATCTCTAGGCGAGCCAGGGAAGCAGGCTTGCAGGCTATGCAGCTGGCAACTGTGGCCAAAGTTACGCCACGGAAGTGGTCCCGTAAAGACAAATAAACCTGAAACCCTCGTCAGAGCAATCCTCCCCTGCCCACCTCTGGAGTTTCTGAGGGAGAGAAACAGTGAACTCCCCCTGCCGTTCAAGCCAGCTTAAGGTTTCTGGTTGTTGTCACGAAAGCCCCCAGATGTAAGAAGTCATCACATATATACTGCCCCATAATAACAATATTTTGCCTATTGAACACTTCAGTACATATTGTACACATTAAACATGCAACCAGGAGAAAGAACTGCATGCCCTACGATCGGGCTGCAGAGATGCAAAGGAAGAGACGTTCTCTGGGCGGGAGGGGCCCTCCCATCCTCCTGTGGACAATGTCCAAAACTCTTCATCAGGACAGAGATGATTCTTAGGTCTTTCATCCTTAATAAAAACAGCTAATAGCTAACGTTTAATGAGCACTTTTTACCGGCCACTCTGCTTAGTTCTTTAATCGAAGAATTCATTAATCTTTCAACCACTTAAGAGGGAGGGAGAGTAATACTCAACATGACCAAGGTCAGACAGCTGCTGGGTGTCAGCGAGCTCATTTTTTCCCAAGACAGAGCTTGCTTTACATTCAAGGAAGATAAATTAAAAAAAAAAAGAAAGAAAGAAAAGAAAGAAATGACCACTATATCTGGAAGTGATCACAGCTTATATATAATTATATTGTTATGATACTTTGCTATTAGATATAAAAATAAGACTTGAGTAAAGTTCTACAGAAGAATAATTTGGGGGATGGCATCTGAGATTATCATAGGGAATATCTGTTGTCATTTAAGAATAAAAAATGAAATCTCTAGACTAACGTCAACTAAAATTCAAGAAAAGGATAGTTATTAAACCTTATTATTATTATTATTTTTTTACCCATTTTGATTGTCTTCATGATACCTACCCATTCTTGGAATTAGTTAAGACTCACTTTATGGGCTTACTATGGTAAGTTTTGTTAAGTGTTTACCTGAAGAGATATTAATTCTCCAGCTGTTGACAAAGCAAATCTTTTCTACCAAGGACATCCTAGGATTCCAGCTCCTGGGCAGTTTGTTTTCCAAACCAAAGGGGAGATAGGGAAACCTCCTTTCTGGGATTGACAGAGAAGCTGCCTGCGGGAGGCAGACAAAAATGTCCCGCAGAGATAAATTCACCTGCTAATCCCTGGAACCTGAGAATATTATCCCCTACAGCAACAGACATGACTGAGTTTATCCCAGATGATCCAGATTTAAAAGCAGTCACGTGCTCCTACCGAGAGTGAGGCAGAGAGACACGCAGACAGTGGGAAGACGGGGCAGACCCCAGCGTGATGCGCCCACAAGCCCTGGGGTCCTGGCAGAGCCCAGGACGGACTCTCCCCCAAGGCCCCTGCAGGGACAACAGCCCTGCCCACAACCTTGATTCCAAACTGCTGGTCCCAGGTATTTGGAGAAAACATCTTTCTGGTGTTTAAAGACATCAAGTCTGTAGTGATTGGTTATGGTAAACCTACAAAGCGAATACACAGTCCTTTATTATTTTTTTAAATGTAAGCACCTCAGAACTCTTTGGGAGTTAGAGCTAGAATCCGCCAATGCGCTCTAGACAGAAAAGGTGGGAGAAAGCATCTGGAAATGAGGGACATTTGTGGTATCCTCGGTGCCCGGAGGCAAAGCCAGGAGCCTGAGGGAGAATGGGCTGGAGCAGAGGGACAGGAAGGGACGGAAGGGAAAAGGACAGACAAGAAGAACAATGATAGTTTTTGGTGTCAGGGAGGGCCAGTGGATTTTTTAAAAGCAACAGTCTATTTTTAAATGCTTGCTGTGCTTTACTCTGATAAAAATTCCCCAATCCTGTTCATAATACAGTCAACTTCGCACAATCACATCATCTACTTTGCTTTGGGGGGACCAGGGAGGTAGGCTGTCACAGCTGTGTAAGCACAGACAGAAGACAGCCGCTCCCCATGGCAGCAGACAGACTGACAGCGCATGGGACATGGGAGCCGCAGTCCAGGCGCCTGGGAGAATGGAGGTTTTTCTGTGACAGGAAGAACACGGATCAGGGACTCCCTCACTGGAACAGGTACTCGTATGTAAGAAAGACTGGAGGACTGGAGGACGTCAGGAAGCTGAGTCCTGGTACTCTGGTCTCTAATTCTTCCCAATTACAAAGCATTTCCTAACAGATACTCATTTACCTGCCATCAATCTTAGGCCATTTTGCAATACATGACTCAGTTCCTTCATTTTTAGGAAAGAACATACTACAGTCAAGCTACAGCCTGATCCCTGACTCTTCCCCTCCCACACTACGTTCTGTGCTTGGTGCTATATCTAGGTACCACAATCTATAACATTTACTGCGTTCATGTAAATGGCATATTGACATGTCCTTTTACAACATATTCATGTTTTTCTCATTTAATTTTTAATAGGTAATACATGAATAAAGTCCCAAATCAAACCCATACAAGTAGGTCCGCCCCTTAGCGATAATGAAAACAAATGCCCGTTTCCCTATAGTTTCACCAACAAAGTCCCGTCCAACTTTTGTATTTTTGCCCATCTGATGAGAAACAACATTTCAATTTTTAATGTGCATTTCTCTGATTAAGAGTGGGGTTGAGGGCGCCTGGGTGGCTCAGATGGTTAAGCGTCTGCCTTCAGCTCAGGTCATGATCCCAGGGTCCTGGGATCGAGTCCCACATCGGGCTCCCGGCTCAGCGGGGAGCCTGCTTCTCCCTCTGACCCTCTCCCCTCTCATGCTGTTTCTCTCTCGCTCGCTCTCTAAAAAATAAATAAAATCTTTAAAAAAAAAAAAAAGAGTGGGGTTGAGTATATTTTCATATATTTAAAAACTTTTATGTTTCTTTTTCTGAGAACTGTCCTTTGCCCATTTTCCATACCATTTGTTCCCCGTGTTTTTTAGGCAGTCCTCACGTGTTATGAGGATGAGCTAACTCCCTGCGCTGAGAGCTGCAAATATCCTTCTTCCCAGCTCATCATTTGGCTCCTTACCTCACAGTGTTTTTTGACCATTGTCACTCTTTTCCTTTATAGCTTCTAGATTTTTGAGTCTTAGTTTTAAAGGCTTTCTGTAGTCCAAGCATATAAAGGACATTTTGTTTCTTCAAATACTTCTATGTTTTTAGTCCTTTTTTGATCCTGTTATCCAGGTAAATAACAATGGCCATGGTTCCAACTGCATCTTCACACACATGGCAGTTTAGTTTTCCCAATGGCAATCACTGAAAAGTTGTTAGTCTGTTCTTGTCTCACGACTGACAACAGACTACATGCCCAGCGTGTGCAGTCCTGTCTCTGGGCTTCTGTTCTGTCCCGATGGCTTGCTGCTCTCTGTTCAGAAGCCAGCACCACAGTGTTTAACCAATGAAGCTCTATAATAGGTTTTAATTGTTTATCTTTCTTTTTTTTAAAGATTTTATTTATTTGCGAGAGAGTGCGTGTGCACACAGCGAGTGCGGGGGGGGAGGGGCAGAGGGAGAGAATCTCCAAGCAGACTCCCTGCTGGGTGTACAGCCTGATGCGGGGCTCGATCTCACGACCCTGAGACCATGACCTGAGCTGATACCAAGAGTTGGACGCTTAACGGACTGCACCACTGAGACACCCCTTTCTATGTGAACCTTAGAATCTGCTTTTGCCCCCAAAAAACAAATGAAACCTTTGGTATTTTCACTGGGGTGTATTTCCATTCATAAATGAACATTTAGGGTCTTTAAATCTTTAAGATGTTATGATATTAAGTACATGATATATTATTTCATTTATTCCTATTTTCATTTGTGTCCTTTACAAATGTTTTCTTCATATGTGTTTTACATATTTCTCATACAGGTATATTCATATAGGTTTTACATTTCTCATTAAATTACTGCACTTTTTTTTTTTTTTTGCTGACTCCCCACTGAGCAGGGAGCACAATGTGGGGCTCAATCCTAGGACCCTGAGATCATGACCTGAGCTAAAGGCAGATGCTTAACCGACTGAGCCACTGAGGTGCCCCCTAAATTACTGCTCTTTTAAATGAGGGCTTTAATTACTATGTATCTTTTATTATTTAAAGGTAAGATACATTTTTTTATTATTTATTTATTTATTTAT